CAATGGCCCGCGGGCTGGATACAGCCTGCCAATGCAAAGTATCTAGCCCATGGAGTGGTGGGATGAATAGCAGCTGCCAGCTTGTAAAGAAGTCCTTTAAAAGTCTTTAAAAACAGCCTTGCAGTTGTTTTTCACAGCCATGTGATCCATTAAAAGTCTTTAAAAGTCATTAAAGGTCTTTAAAAATCTTTAAAAACAGCCTTTCAGATGTTTTTCACAGCCATGTGATCCAGGGCCAGTGGGTGATTAGGGAAGGGGCTGTTTTTAAAGTAGCACTTTAAGTGAAGTGAATGAGTGGGTGAGTGAGTGAGTGAATGGATAGGTAGGGGACATGTCACCACATCTCCAAGCTTTTTCAAAATCAGCTGAAGTTGGCTAACAATAATTCAAATGCAATCGCAGTATAATGCCTGAAGGAGAATTCACCAATTGCTTTGATTCTTACCACATATAAAGTAAATCCACCAAATTGGTTGCTGAACAATTTTGGTAGATATTCATGTACATGCACAAGTGTGGAAAAAAGCAAATCAGTTTGTGAATTTCCTCCAAGCTTAAAAGACCTTTAACCCTGTAATTCCAAATAAGCAGGCCCACACTTCCTATTGAATTAATAGTATATTTATGTTGGTTAAAATCTTTCTTCATTTTAAATATTGTATTGAAGATACAAATGAAGATATGTGCAGTGTTCACAGGAATTTGTTCGTGGTTTTTTTTGCAAACTATAGTCCAGCTCCCAACAGTCTGAGGGACCATTATCCCTCCTTAATTCATAATTGGAGGGTGTGTGTGTGTGTGTGTCTCTGTGTGTGTGTTGATCCTCACCTTCTTCCACCTGCTTCCAGTATCTTTCAATGCCCATCTTGGGGTTTTTAGTTGCAGTCTTAATTGGTGTAGTTCTCAGTCTGGTTTATTGTGTGGTCATCTGAAATTTATGATAAGGAATTATTTTGAAGAAAATCCTGCTGGTTTTATTATTTATTATTTATTATTTTTAATGGCCTGTTTTAAGAAGCCTGAAGCTGCTGTTGTAATGAAGTTAGGCAAGTGACAAGAAAGTTTGTGTTGTTTTTCTCTTGGGTGGGTGGGTCTTAAGTAAATAGATTCCTTGGGTTGAGCAAATTCAGCAAGGACAAAGGCAAAATGGACTGCTAAATTGGCCATCCCCACTCAGTCACATGACCATCTAGCCACACCCACCCAATCACATGACCATCTAGCCATGCCAACACAGCTGGTCCACACATACACCCTAATAGTGGGAGGAATGGTAAATTGGCTCCCTGTTCAAAAAGTTTGAGGACCCCTAGTGTAAGCTAACTGTTACTTCTGTTCTCCCTTTCCCAAAGAGTGGCCCATATAGATTCCTGTTAAATGTATAAAGTGCCATTTACCACCATTAGCATCTTCTCCAAAACTGAAATGATCTAACAACAGCTCCCCAACCAGCTATTTGCTTGCCTCCAGATGCTAAATTATTTAGATAAACATTTAGAACATTATTGCTCTTTTGGAACAGCTGTTGAGCTTCTGAATCTCTCTTTTAATGTCATCATCATTGTGGAATACTATTTTAAAAGTTCAGCTTTTCTTTAAAAGCAAACAAACAAACACGGGGTATTCATTGAATAATATGGAAAAAAATGAGAAAGGGTATGGGTTTTTAGACTCGGTTTTTAGACGTCACGCTCCAGCACTAAGTAAACAAAAGTAAAACTCCCATGCTATAATACATTGCTTATTTTTTTTATACCAGTTTTCTCTCTTTAGATCAGGGCTGTCAAACTCATGGCCCGCAAGCTGGATGCGTCACACCCTGGCCACATCCGGTTTAGTGAAGGGAAAAGTCCCAATACATCACGTGACACCGCCATGATGACACGAGTTTGACATTAGATCATTTTAACATGAAGCTTCTATTCAATGAAGTTGCAAATTATTTGTCTTGATTATATGAAACTGTAGCACCATCTATATATGGAGTTCTGTTTGCAGTTGATAATGACAGAAGAATGTTGAATTAGAAATAAGAACCCAGGTTTACAGGAGAAAAGTAATTTGTTTGTGTAATTGAATATCAGAAAAATACATTCTGTTATTGAAGTTATGTTGCCAGTATTGATAAGGTCTTGAAGCTCAAATAAAATTCATTGGAGGATTTGTTTGGAAATCTCTATGGAGACAATTTCAGTGATTCTCCTCATGAAACTGGAAGTAATCTAAAAATATCCTAGGTGATTCTAGATTGCCCGTCTAACTTTTAGAATGTTGCAATTGGCTTTTTATATAAGACTAGACAATAACCCACCATCGCCTGGATATTTATTTATAGGGGGGAAATGTTCAGACCAAACGTAATTTCTATGTTGGATTTTGCTCCTTACCAGAGAGAGCCCCCTTGTGGAGCACTGTGAAGCCATTACCATGGCAACTCCACTGCAATGTGTAGTAGAAGTCAGTATGGCAGTATGGCCCAACAGGCTGTATCTTAAGAGAACACATACTTCGAGGAGCATTAGGGGTGTCTTACCCCCACAGTATTTTTCTCCAGAGAGTAAGTCATATGTGTACCAACTTTGGTTGAAATTGCTCGAGGCGTTCCAGAGTTATGCTGGAACACACACACACACACGCACACGCACACACACGCGCGCACACGCGCGCACACACGCGCACACACGCACACACAAAGATAAGCTATTTTGGATCAAGGCAAGAACGTATCTTCTCTATCATTCTACATTTCCTAATTCCAAGCTATTCTTGTAAATTCACCAATATGAGGATTGATTTTCAGAGTTTTTATACCACTGAGATTCACACAAAAATATATGAAACCTAGGTTTGAGAATACTGTTATTATACTTCCTAATACTTTGTATTAAGTAGCTTCTGATATCATTACCAAATCCTATACAAGGAACTCATTTCCACATATGTATCCTTCTTATCTTTACTCCCCCTCTTATTGGTATTACTATAATTATTATCAACATTATTCTGTTGCTTAGCATGTGCACTGAGAGCTTCTGAACCAGAGTCAAATTCCTTGTGTATCTTCATCAAACTTGGCCAAATAAAATATTCAATTCAATCTGTATTGTTTCAAAATTATTTTAGAAAGTTGGTTGGTACTGGTGTCTAAGTTAAAAAAATGTTTGACACAATACCAGCATTCATCTTTGCATCGATATACAACAATTTTCTAATTACTGCTATTAACACTACAGAAAGAAAAATCTGTTATCAGTAGGATAGCATCACAAATTGCTGTACTTGGGGTTGGATGTCCTTTATCTGATCAATACTTGTATTTTTTCAAAACTATCTAATGCTTCTAGACTTTGTAGATTTAAATGTATGAGTATGGTTATTAGAAGACGTTTCTGGGCTCATAAAAAGCAAAGTAATCCTAAAGTTTCATATTGCTTATCTTGATTTACCCCAATTCAGAAAAATACACAATCTTTAAGAGGACATTTAAATAATTAAATAAATTCAAATAAATACTGTATATCAAAGTTTGTTAATTTGAAAGATATTTCTATGCACTCTAGGGGCAACCTATTCAATGTGCCATATAATTGTATATGGTTATTTAATAGCACTGTCATTCTGGGAAGGAAAATAGCATGAGAATGCTTTAAAGAAGAAGAAAATGCCAACTCTGATTAAGTATTTCAGGAAAAACATTGTAAAAAATTGTTTCTGTTGTGAATAATTTAATTTTAGATATTTAACCAATTAATTGATTAGTTTAGCTACTTAACCATGTTATCTGCGGAACTAGTTTTTCTTCATTTACATCTAATCACTTCCTCCAGTTGGGCAGAGAAGGTATGTTCCAGATCTCATCAGTTAAAAAACTTTGACTAGTGGGGTACAAGAAAACAGCCTCCCTGGCTGTTGCCCCTGCCCTTTGGAACATCATTTCCTCCCTACAAGTGATGTGGATTTCACTGTCCTGGATTTTCAAAAATGTTTTCAGACTGACTCTATTGACTTTTATGGAGTTCACAGAAGAACCCCAATCTTGGTGTTAGTTAACACCTTAAAGTCCTCACCGCCTTTTTAACTTTTATTTTATTTTATTTTATTGTGTTTCCCTGAAAGACAGGGTTTTATTTTCTTTTGACCCCCGAAATAAGCATTTGGCCTTATTTTTGGGGAGATCTTTTTTTTTTTTGGTGCAGGAGGCGGCGAGCGTGGTCACCTCATGGCTGCTGCTGTGTTGCAATATTTTCAGGGAGGGCTAATTTTCAGGGCAGGACTTACTTTAGCACATGCACTCAAAAGCCCAATTGGGCTTATTATCCAGGGAGTTCTTATTTTCAGGGAAACAGGGTATCCCGGTTTCATCCTATGAGATACTATATTTTATATGGTTTTAATGTTTTTGATTGTACACCACCTAGGGTGAGATGGGCAGTCTTTAAATTTGATAAATAAAGTAAAATTTCCACTAATACCATGTTTGCAACCTAAAAAAATTAAGTTGCAAAATAATCCTGGTTCAAAAGCTTTATTTTAGTACAATAAATAGACATAAATATTATGTTTCTTCCATCTTTAAGAATGTTACCAATTTTACTCCAAAAGTAGTACATGTTGGAAATGATTTCATAAACAAGAATATAATAAAAATTACTAAAGTTTAGGAATATTATAAAAGATTTGATATTGTAAAAGATATTTCATGTCTATGTGATGTGTGTTTGTGTAAAAGAGAGCATTAGCAAGCAAATCCCAAAATTTGTCTTCTGTTATTAAATACCCCAGATAATCTCTTTCTGTAAATTCATTTATAAGGATCACTTTGCACAAGTTAAAGGACTTATAGAGTTGCCAACATACAAAATGCAGAAGAAATATGGAAACTGCATTATACCAAATTTTGAGTCTGATCATTAAGAATTGGCCTTACTTGTAACAATCAAGTTTTCTTTTACATTTGACGAAAGGTTGAATAATGCACATTTTATTTTCTTTTGTTGTAGTTCCCAAGGATGGGCTCAAGAGCCAAGCTGCGTTTGAAGAAATGAGGGCAAATTACATTAAAGAACTTAGAAAAATGGTAACTAAACATCCAAATAATTCTGGACAAAGTTGGCAGCGATTTTATCAACTGACAAAGCTCCTGGACTCTATTCATGATGTAAGTAATTTAAGTTACAATACAGAGGAAAGTATTATGAAGAAGAATCAAATAAATAATCTCCTTGAAGCTCTAATAGAAATGCTATCAGATATTAACCCATGTTATATGAAGTTAGTACCACAGTAATAGCTTCATTGGCAGAACAGGACACAATGAAAGAGTTGGAAGGGATCTTGAACATCTTCTAGTCCAACCCCCTGCCTAGGCAGGAAACCCTATACTACTTCAGACAAATGGTTATCTAATCGCTTCTTAAAAACTTCCAGTGTTGGAGCATTTACTACTTCTGGACGCAAGTTGTCCCACTGATTAATTGTTCAAACTGTCAGGAAATTTCTCCTTTGTTCTAAATTGCTTCTCTCCTTGATTAGTTTTTCCAATATTGCTTCTTGTTCTACTCTCAGGTGCTTTGGAGAATAGCTTGACTCCCTCTTCTTTGTGGCAGCCCCTGAGATATTGGAGCACTGCTATCCTGTTACCCCTAGTCCTTCTTTTCATTAAACTAGACATACCCAGTTCCTGCAACCGTTCTTCATATGTTTTAGTCTCCAGTTCTCTGATCATTCTTTGTTGCTCTTCTCTGCACTCTTTCTAGAGTCTCAACATATTTTTTACATCCTGGTGACCAAAATTGGATGCAGTATTCCAAGTGTGGCCTTACCAAGGCATTACAAAGTAGTATTAACACTTCACGTGATCTTGATTCTATCCCTCTGTTTATGTAGCCTAGAACTGTGTTGGCTTTTTTGGCAGCTGCTGCACACTGCTGGCTCATATTTAAGTAATTGTCCACTAGGACTCCAAAATCCCTCTCACAGTCACCAATATTGAGCAAGGTACCACATATACTGTACCTGTGCATTATATGGCAAAATCTTTGTTATGGAAAAAATTAGCAAAGCTAAATTTCATATCTCTTTTCTCTACCTCTATTTCACTAGGACTTTTTTTGGTAATAACCAATGAAATGAAGGAGGAATAGATAGTTACCGATCAAAGCAAAGAATGCACCCACTTCCCTTACTAAACATTATGGGAACATAGAAAATAAGTTTTGGACTTCAACCATATTAGTTATTTCACTTCTGTTTCCGATCTATAAGGAAAACAGGAGAGTAAATAAGTCTCAAAACCACAATTCTACAGCCAAAAGTACAGAAAATTACTTTAGGTCATTGGATGCTGTCAGCCAGTCCCTCTCATGGATGCGTGGATGAGGACAATTCACAAACGCATTCCCAGAATTAACCTTTTAAGTCACTGAAAATCAGTTGAAGTCCTTTGTTTAGAATTGCATTAAAATGTGACATGTTTCTAAACTCTTTAAAAATGTGGCATGTACGGAAACAAGTTCTTCATTGCTTTTCTTAATGTAGAATCTATGTTTGTTTCTGTACACCATAATCTTTTCAGAGCTCCTTGCTGAGTGTAGTACTTGTGAAACAGCATCTTCAGTATTCCAAAGGTCTTACAAAAAGCTTTGAACATAATGAGTCTGCCACATGACTATAATACTAAAATAATTATGTTTTTTTTAATTTTCCAGTAGGAATTATTATTTAGCACTTTTGTTGAATTGCCAGTTATGTGAGGATATTTACAAATATTTTTTAAAAACTATTAAAATATCTTAGTAAAGCAATATAGAAAATCTCTGCTCCATTCTTACTAGCATAAACGCAGTGAAATATACTTTTAATATACCGCTCAGAAAGTTTAGTCTTGGTATGCCAAGGTTGCGTATAAATACGCCTCTTTGTACTTAACTGGCTTATTTATGAAGATGCAATACATTATGGTGCATTTCAGGTCAGGTCTGTATGAAAGCCTGAGGTTTGTTTACAGAACATACATATGGAATTATTTGTTGAGTAATATGCTGTTAATTAAAACACTGAAAAATCTTGGTGGGAGTTAAAAGTATTATTAGTACTGCAGTAACAGCTCATTCTTTAGAGAGTTGCATTTGCTTTGAGGAGGGGAATCATTGTTTTTTGTTGCTGTTGTTCAACATTATCCTGCTCTGCAAACCACATTAGCATTTTTGGATTAAACCAAGTAGAATTTCAGATTCCCCGTTTTCAATTACTACTTTGTTTAATTCAGTCTATCCAAAGATATATAAACATAGATTCTGTAGGAAGCTGATTGAGACTTGGAGTATGGATGTGCATCATGTTTAATATTATAATTCCACGTCAATAATATATTCTTATGTACTTTAGTATTTAGAATATTTCCATTTTTATGCATATTTGGACTTTATTTAAGAAACCTGTATGAAGAAATCAAAGCTCCTGTAGGTGTATTACTTTAACTCAGTGGTGGGTTTCAATTTTTTTTAGAACCTCTTCTGTAGGTGTGGCCTGCTTTGTGGGAGTGGTTTGCTGACCATGTGACTGAGTGGGAGTGGCTTGCCAGCCATGTGACTGGGTGGGCGTGGCCAACTTGTAAAAGGTGTTGAAACTCACTTAACAACGCTCTTGCTTACCAACCAAAATGTTGGCTCAGAAACTCTGGCATTTGAAGCACACAAGTCTTAAAGCTGTCAAGTTACAAGACCCTTGCACCCCTAACCCTTTAGGGGAAAAAATCTCAGGGGTGTTCAAACTTGACAGCTTTAAGACTTGTGGACTTCAACTCTGTGAAACCTCTTCTACAGAAGAGGTTAAAACTGGCAAGTTTTAGCTTGGTTTTATAGTTTTTAATGTGTTTCTTAACTGTTTTTAGCTCTGTTGAACACCGTCTAGTCACTTGTTTGTATGAGAGGTAGCTATACGAATTGGTTTAATAAAACAAATAAGCAAACATTCTGCCTCATTTCAACTTGGATATAGAAAATCATTGATTGAAAGTATCATCTCTTCAAAATACTTGTGTTACAAGATAATTTTGAAAATGAGAAGACTGATCTTCTTAGATTGGAAATATATTTGAGAAAATTACATAAAGTCCTTGTCTATCAATTTGGTTTAAGATACACATTTCAAAATGTAATGCATAGTGCCTCCAGTGGCTCTCTACAATTACATCATTTAATAAACTGAGTAGAATAATCCAAAGGTCATGTAGGGGAAAAAAGTGCCCCTAGAGACTAAATTGTGCAAAGAAGGAACTGAGCTACTTTAAATACAATAGCAAAGTATAAATATAATAATTTGTAATTTAGGCAGTAACAACAATAGGAAAATTTTACATTAGGTGTTTTAGTTGGTGTTCTCCTCGTGGGAAACATATGTGAAGGCCAAAAAATGCCAAGCTAAGGAAAAAGATCCTAAAAAGAAAAGGTAGGCAGATTAAAATTGTAAAACACCAGCACATTTATTTATAGACTTCCTATTTTCTAAAAAAAAACAAAAAAACAAATACTTTGACTTCAGATATAAAGTAATATCACTGATGAAGTCAAATTTAAACTGATGTAGTGCCTAACTCCCTAGGCTGCAGCCCACTACTGTGCATTGAGCCCTTCGAAACTGGGGCTGTAGAAGTGGCAGATGTGTGCATGCACGCATCTCAGTTGCACAAGCAATGGGTAAGCATGGGTGAGCATGTTCCATTTGCACAAATGGTGGAGATGCTCACTTGCCATCCCCAGTGGTGTATTAGCCATTAAGCAGACTAAGCACGTGCTAAGAGCACCAGGCCCAAAGAATGCACCACAAAGTTGAGAAAGAAAGAAAAAACCAATGAAGATTTGTAAAGTATGTAGAAAGGAGGGGCACCAAGATTTGTCAGTGCTTAGGGCACCAGTGAGCCTTAATCCACCACTGGCCAACCCCTCTCCAACTCCATGTCGGTCCACAAAGCTGGAAAGGTTGGGAACTCTGAGTAGTTTTGTTTTGATTTGTGAGGGGGGGGATTTTTCTGTGGAAAATTCTCTCCAAAAATAAGACACAAATAACCAAAACAAGATTGCTGTGAGATAGTTTGTCTGATGCCTGTTTGCTATATACGCTGGCACTGATTTTTATCTTAAAAATACTAATGAAATATGCCCATGCAAGTATATATGAAATACCAAATTTCTAGACACAAAATCACAAACTTTTGGTTAGGATTAGAATTGCAGTGTACCAGCCCCGAGGTTAGGAATTAGAACTGTCAGGGAGCTTTGTTAAAATAGTTTTAGGTAGTTGAATAGATAATCCAGTCAAATTCCTTTTGCGATTATAAGAAGCTAAGAATAGTCTTACTTGCTGCACAAAATTCTGTGTCACACAATAGCCATTCAGAAAATTCACCAGTAGATAAAATGTCCTAACTCTCCTTCATAGTAATTTTTTCCGTAGCCTCTTGTCTTTAAGGTATGATCCCTGATTTAGAAAGCAGAATTTAGCTGTCAAGCCTAATATGATTTCCTCATAGGTATGACCTTTTAAAAACAAATTATTAATGACAAGATAAAGCATTACAATGATAATTATTTAACTTTAAGCTTGTTGGATTATTGCAAATAGTGAAATCCATTGTTACTGTTATGCAATTCAGTTAAACTAATTATTATTTATGCTGATAGAGAATTGGGAAAATTATTCATTTTCTGTGAATTCCTTCTTGATCCCTCAGTTTTTTAAAAATCTCACTTTTTTACAAAAAAAACTAGCCGATAAAAACAAAAATTAAATTGAGAGAGTAGTATGTTCTTAGTTAAATAAAGAAATAAAATTTTAATAAGGTGCTATTAGAAGCATTATGTGATTTGAATACATATTGCTGTGTGAAGCTTATTTCCATTTCACAAACTAGGTCAGATAATTCTCTACGCTGTGAGAAGTGAAGACCGATTTCAACAATTTCTTTTCAGGCTAGTTAGGTTGAGTTTGCCATCTTGGAGAAATGTAGTTATCTCATTGTGGGATTTTCTATAGTTATAAAAATGATTAGGAAGGAATTGTTGTATTTTTTAAATAAAAAAACCTAGCCTTTCAAAACACAAATAATTCTAACAATTTTTCACAAATTTGTAATTAAATAATAAATTGTGAAATATATGGAAATTTATCTCTAAAATGTAAAGTTGTGTTATAAGAAGAGCAGGCGGAGCTGGGGAGAGGGGATTTAAGTGCACCATCAGCTTAGAATCCTTGCATTCCTACAAATGCTCAAGTCCAATCGCTCCTGAATTCGATTGACCTTTATTGGGTATCCATTTACTAGTGTTGAAATATAGAAATACTATAGCTTGAATAAATTTTCTATGCTGCAAGAAGTTGATCTTCTTACTTCTTGTGACTTCTTACTAGTTGATCAAGAAAGAGGCAGTAAATGGAAATATACTGTATGACTCCATCATCTAATTACTTGCTTTACTACAATCTTCAGTTGCCTGGATTTGAAGCAGGATAATTAGAATAACCAAAGCAGCTGTTTTGCTTTTTTTTGCCAAGAGCAAGGGAAAAAAATGGTCAACCATGTATTAGCTTTTTTTTTTTTCATGTTAGCATGACATGGCTGTCTGGAACTGATTTGAGTTAAAAACAGTTTTAACTGCACACAGTACATTAACTTTGCCCACAACTCAGTTGGACTCTTGTACAAACAGAATATGTGCTGTCTGTTTGCATGATCCTTCTTATTTCTTCCTTCACAAATGTTGTCTTCTGTCCTTTTCTTCCCATGTGCCCAGCATCCCTTTGTTTCATGCCCCATTCCTATTTTTTTGTAGCCTCTTTATTTTTTTCTTTTTAACATTCCTTTCATCTTCTTCCCTTCCCTTCCTTTTTTCCCTTTAAATTGCTTCTATGCTGGCCTTCTTTCATCGTCAGAAATTCAGTCTTAAACCTATTAGTTATAACAAAGCACCTTGCAGAGATAAATTTGTGTAATAATATCTAGCAATATGAAAACTATTATATGTCCAAGATAGAAAAAAAATATAAGTTTGCCAGATGTATGGCAATGCAGCTTTCAAGGAAACCAGGAATCTGGATTAACACAAATAAATAGACTGAGGGAATCAAGAGTTTGATAGATCTGAAAAGACACTGATTCTGTTCACCTTCTTTGAACTGTATTTTTTGGAAGCAAATGGTTCAAAAACCAGTTTTATTTTTGATGCTTCTGGCTTTAGGAATTCTCTCCACTTAACTAAAATAGGTGGTTTGTGACTGACCCATGTTCAATACAAAAGTTCATTTAGAGTGTGGGTACTTCATAGCAGCAGTTTGATGATGAGGATGCCAATTCCAACTTTGACCATGATCCAAAAAGCCGTGGAGAATCCTGCACATCTGACTGAAAGTTCAAACGTATTTTCTAAATGTTGGAACAAGGTTACAAGAGATAAAACTAATGGAAATGGGGCATGCTCCGGATTGTTAGCTAATTGTATATAATTTAGAACAGCTTTAGAAGAGCAGGCGGAGCTGGGGAGAGGGGATTTAAGTGCACCATCAGCTTAGAATCCTTGCATTCCTACAAATGCTGTTGTGTATATTTCATGGATTTTCCATTACTTTTTTGTGTGATCCATTAGTAAAAGGCCAATGAAAGAGAAACATTATTTAGAACAAAGAGAAGCTCCTGAGAATAAAGGAAATGGTTGTAGTTTAATAAGTTTTCTAAATCTTGCCTTCAATGTTTCTATAAGTAAAGACTATAACCCTAGGATAATTTGAGGCAGTTTCACAGGTTTTTGTCACTCACTTTATACATAAAAAAGCACACTCAGAAGGAAAATGGATGTGGCAAAATTTTTATGTAGGAAGAAAAATAGCTTTTGTAAAGTGGCACCAACACTCTGAAGAATTCCATTTTCTCCTTCTGCTTGACTTCCAGTACATGATTGTAAAACCAAGATGTTTGCTAAACCGGAGTAAATTATATGCTAGTTTCTTTCAGTGAAACTGAAGCAGAAGTAATTTTTTTTCAGTTCATAGCTACTTTTTACAGAAATTTGGAAAATAACATTGCAAGGCTTTTTTTCCCCTTTTCTTTGAAAGAGGTGGTTCGCAAAAGGCTGGAGCAACTACAAAGCAGCCATTTTCAAATCATTAAAACAGCTGGTTTTTGTCAAGGTTTGTGTTGCTTTGAAAACTGCTTTTGGTTGTTTTCACATGTGAGAGAATGCTGTGCAAATTCATGCAGGTTATAAAGATTCACCAGCAGACTTCCAACAAACGTGCAATCCTGGAAAAAGGGCAGACTTCAGGGTTTGAAGAAAGGTGCCTCAGATGTGCTCTCAGGTGTTTCACCACATCTTTTTTCAAAGTATTTGCACAGCCGTAAAGTTTCATCTTTTGTACTACTGTTCTACATTGCCTTTTCAGTATTATGAACTATTTTCAACATCCTTTAATGCTCACCATTCCTAACTTTTCCCCCCTCCCATTCCATTTCAGCTTGTTAGCGATTTGCTGGAATTTTGCTTCTACACCTTCCGAGAGTCTCAAGCTCTCAAAGTGGAGTTTCCAGCCATGCTGGTAGAAATCATCAGTGACCAGTTACCCAAAGTGGAATCTGGGAATGCCAAGCCTCTCTACTTCCACCGGAAGTGACAGAACATGTCTTAATGGAAAAAAAAGAAAACTTTGCCTTAAGTTCCCCTGCGCTATTCCACACCCATGAAGGAGCCAAGAAGCCACATTTAAAGTGTGCTATTCAAAATCGTTCAACAGTGTCTCAATCGTCTAAAGACAATATGAAGGTTTGGAGAATGAAAAACAAGCATCTTATATGAACTTGGTAAGACAAAATAGCCAAGAGGTTTATGAACACCAGGCCACCCCAAATACTCCCAGCATTTAAAAAAGAAAAAAAAAAGAAATATTCCTGTTCCTCTGGATGAAAAGCCATATCTAGTCAAATAACTCCTTGATTTTGATATATTAACAGAAGAACATTTTAATTATGTCATGTAGTTTCTGGTATTGTTTGCTTGTTTTAAAAGGGTTTAAGAATGAACTTTTAAAAAGCTTACCATTGGTTTGCACATAAATAAGTCAATATGGGGCATTAATTCTTGTACTATACACAAACACACATACATACGTAGAAACAAAATCAAATTCCTGGTATGTAACATAGATAATGGAACATTTTGGTGTGGAATAATCTTGGTATATTCACTTGCGGCATTTGTTATCCCATGTTATCCATCATAGATGATCTACACTGTGTTAAGTGTTCATTTATTATTTAACTTGAAAGGATAAGATGTTAAAACAAATGCCTCCGTTTCAATTTATAGTATATTGTGCTGGCTTTACCAATAATTTTTGCAGTCTTTTGCTGTACTGTACAATGCTGTATGTATAAATTGAAGGACCTGAAAAAATGGTATAAGGAACTTTTGTAAATGAGACCTAAAATCTTTAATGGTTAATAGGATGAATGGGAAAGTATTTTTGGAAGAATTCTATTTTGCTGGAGACTATTTAATTACTCTTTTTTGTCTAAACACAAGGGTTTTTTTTCTTTTTCTTTTTTGTAAAGTGAATTGTTCTGCATGCATAATGAACCGTTTACAGTGTATTTAAGAAAGGGAAAGCTGTGCCTTTTTAGCATCATATCTATCTCACAATGTCTGTTGTAAATAATCACCCATAATTGTTTCCAGTTGTTCTTTTTCCATCCAACTTCCTCAGCATTTGTCTACTACTTTTTACATCCTTTGAGCACAATGAGTCTGCTTCAAGCCTCTTGCTGTGTTTGCAGCTTTATACACACATTTTATCTAACAAGATAAATGTTAACAAGGATAGACTCCATCAAGACATGATTTTCTACATGTTTCATTAAAGCTAATAAAGCTGTGCAGATAATTTGGTTCCTATTTCAATGGAGCCTGCTTAAGTCAGCTATATGGTGAATTGTGCCCAGTTTTGTTTTTTTCAAAGACTATCATCTCGGGATCAAATGAGATTCTGCTCCTCACTCTGAAGGTCACTGTCCTACACACAGGCAAATTTAAACAAGACCCTCTCAAACACATTGTCCTCCAAGCAAAGGCTCATTGAGTCCAAAACCCTACAGAGTATAGTGATCTGCTCATTTTGGGGTTGTTTAATTTTATGTCAAATATGTGGTTAAAGAACTGTTTTTCCTTCCTTTGAAATCTGGAACCAATGTATATTGCCAAAAGTATGGACAACAAATCTGAATATATAGGTGGAAATAAAAATTATCCCATATCCTAGACACATTTGGAATGATAATAAGAATAGGGACTATTTAATGCTATTTATTGTTAGGCAAATCAGTAACTCAGTAACTGTGTATAGGATTGCGATTTAACTACTCTTAAAATGAGCCCTCAAATAGGCAATTTTCAAAATCTGGATTTCTCTCAAAACTATGTCACGGCAACAGTGTCTTTCTTGTGATGATCATTACTATATGAATAATTTAAATATGTAGCATAATTCTTAAAAACAAAACTTACAATAATTGTCAGTTATCTTCATCTAAAAGAAAGTTTAGATAACTTCTTTGAGAAAAATAAAGGATCTTTTAGGTTGAAATCCTATGTACAATTATTTGAGAATAAGTTCCAGTGGAATTACTTCTTAGTAACCATGCTTAAAACCATGTAATTAATAACCAAATCTGGGATCCAAAGGTTTTTTTTTAGGTGTGCTTAAAGTTTGGATAAGTTCCTTGGAACCTGCTGCAATTAACAGCAAATCTAATTTACAATATTTTTTTAAAGTACTGTTTCAAAAACAGTTATGGAGCATACATAGAAGCCCAAGTAATTTCTTGGATCTTAATCATTCATGAAGTTTTTGAAACTTGAACAGATATTTGCATTTCCATCTTGCATCCATAAAATTTAAATAAAACCATAGCAAGTGGATTTCTCAAATCAGTTTCTCTCTGCATCCCCAGACCTCTCTAAGGATCTTCACCCATCTGAACCAGCTTTATAGTGAAAGGGAAAATCTAATCTGCTGATCTGCCAGTATTGTTAATTCCAGTGTTCCAGTGGTAGACAAGCAGAACTGAATTCAATTCAACTTGACCTTTTTGAGCCATACAGTTTTCTGAATGAGAATCTATGGAAGATATACATTACACAGCCATATATTGGGTTGACTCCTGACAATACTAGCTGAACTTAATTCCAGCTGAAATGAATGCAATTTAATAAAATCATTTTCAGTTTTGAAAAGCAAAATCCTTTATCAACTCTTTGGACTGCACAGCAATATGAAACTGAATTTCTACAGTGATAAAAATATATAGCATGCAACATGATCGTTTGTATTAAATATCCTTTTTATTAAGTTTTTTTTGTAAAAAAAACTTACTGAAATTGGAATTTTAAATTATCCAAGTTTGTGGTAAATGATGCAGCTGTTTTTTTATTAGCAAAGTTACTAAATATTTTTCTATCTCCAAGTAACTTTGCTTGATTAAAATATTAAAGCCATATTATTTTCATTTTTTAAATCCACTGGTAGATGTCAGTTGTCTGGTTACTATTATTTTTTGTACCTTATTGCATTTAAGTGTGGTACAATTCATAAATCTCAGAATTGTCATGAATAAAACACTAAATTAGTTTTAAAACAATTTATAACTTTATGCAAAATAGCTAACTTTGCAGGAAAAGTATGCAGATTATAATAAATTCTTTAATCACCTGTTCATGAAACCATTGATTATTGCTTAGAAATCATTAAAATGAACTTCAAATGAAAGGAAGGTATCAGGAGTACATTATATTTTAGAAGGAAATAGATATTTGTCTCCTGCAAAATACGATAAACAACTTCAAAATGTGAAAATAATTGTGTTGATTGAGTGTAATGATTTTGTGGCAATGACTGAAATTATACAGCAAGAACACTGTATTTATATAAATGTAAAATAGTTTTAATTTACTGCAGTGTGTATTTCAAGAATAATATTACATTGCAGTGTGTAACCATTCTGTTGCACAGAACAAAACTGAAAAAGGACTAAAAGCTTGCAATATCAAAATCTTAAAATAAAATATACTTTATAATCAATAATGCAAAAATCTAATCACAGGGTGGTATTTTCACTGACTTTTAGAAACCTTTCGGAATTTAAACCATTCTACATTTAATGCACTTTTAATTGTCTATTAAAGATGTGACATTTTTGATAGAGGGGAGAAAGAAAGAAGGAAGGGTGCAATTTTATCTGGCAGATGACTAACTTGTTAGGTAGCAGTTATAATGCCAGGGTTTTCAGAGTAATGTTTCAAAGTTCATAGAGCTGAAGAGCACATTACACCAAGAACTTAGCACTTGTGCAGGAGAAGTTCTTGGTGGTTGTGTCCTATTATTACTGGATGAAAAAAGCAGCCAGCACTACAGTATAAAACAGCAACATCTATGCATAATGATGCATTAATAATTAGGAGCTTGCTTCTGTATGTTTAAACCTTTTGAATAAATACAAAATTACTGTTTGGCCTTTATGTTATTGTCTTTAAGTACACAATTTTTATAAGTTGTATAAATATACACAAATTAAAATGGTGTGATCATAGTAATTTCTTGTGCTTTGATATAAATCAGAGTAATCTGATTATACATCTCTTTCTTTAGGCAGAGATTCGCTAAAGTGCAATATATTACGTCCAAGATGCTTTTTTACATCACTCTTGTGTCTTCTACATATCTGAATTCCTGCTTTTGTAATATGCTTCATCTCGCTCTGCTGTACTGAATACTTCTTTAAAATGCACAATAAGGGCAATTCACTTCTGCTGTGGCAGTTACAACCCCTCATTTGGAGCTACTTTTTTTTAATGGAGTAGAACTTCTGAGTAGATACCAAATTAGCGAGCCAGAATATTGACTGTACTGATATATCAGTAACTCATTGTTGGTCTATAACTCATTGTGGGTGGGGAAGATTCTTTTACAAACAAAACTGGATTAGCTATGTTCAAGTCTGAAGACAGCGCAGTGGATATGCAAATTGACTTTTATCCTATTTTTGGCATTGTCCTACCCTCTTTATAAAGAAAGGTAATGGCAACCACACAGCATCACTTCTATCTAGCTATGGAAGTGACATAGAATCCCAATTTTCCAGGCTTCTGAATTACATGGAGCAAAAAGTGGTTGTAGAGATTTTCCCAGCGTTCTTAACTGTATGGAATTAACATGAATTCTTGATTGGACACCATAGGTGGATAATTATATACAATGTTCTATTCTGCTTTCCCTGATTGCTGGTACCATTCATGTTGCTATGTCTGAACAGGGCAAAAGGTTTTTGAAGTACCTGTGTTCACACCACAGAACAAGCTATAGTGAAAAAAGCACTGATGACTGGAGCAACCTATGATAAGCCAAATCAAAGAAACTGCACAATGATTTAGTATGGTATGTGAAGCAACCATAATAGAGTTAGCCTCACACAGATACATATTAGAAATTTGGAATCATCCACAGCCTTTTTGAATGTATGTTTCAATAATGTAAATGAAAATCAGAATCACTAGTTATCTATTCGCTATTCTCAATGAATTGCACCCTCATTGTTCTAAGACTGCATTACCTTCCTGCCTTTTAGAAGATTTTAAATGCTTCCTTGCATGACAATAGCCAAGAATTCCCTCTTTACATTCTGAAAATTAACCAGTGGCCAAATGATTATGATCTCTGGTCCATTGTAGGACAGTTGTTATGCTAATAATGTACTACTAGAAAAAAAGTAGAAGACAGTCATGGAAAAATTCTCTATTTCAATTTGACAAATTGGGAAGTTAGGAATTTTCCTCTACTTATGACTTAATAAAATGCGTATCTCTAGCAAGGTAGAAGGCCAGATTTATTTTAGTGATCCCCAGCAGCATCAAAATTGTGTAAGCCCTAACAATGAAAGCAAGCTCCAAATTTGTTTACATTATACAGGTCATCCTTGATGTACAACCAAATTGAGCCCAAAATTTCTATTGCTAAGTGAGACAGCTGTAAAGTGAATTTTGCCCCATTTTACGACCTTTCACAGCTGTGGGTTTGTTTTTATTTGGACTTACAACAAAAGCTCAACATCCAATGAGGGAACAAAGGGTTTGGAAATAAACCACTGGCTTAAGGGAGAGTGCCAGGGAAGCCTTCTGAAGGTTCTGGAGGGTGAAAAACGACCGTACGAGCAACCTGGAAGTTCAGGAACTGTGATTTCTGGTTTGTCTGTAGGGCCATTTTTCATGCTCTGGAGACTTCAGGGAAGCCTCCTGAAGGCTCCGGAGGATGAAAAACGACCCTACAGGCAACCCAGAAGTCACCATTCCCAAACTTCCAGGTTGCTTGTATGGCTGTTTTCGCCCTCCAGAGGCTTCAGGGAAGCTCCTGGAGCCTCCAGAGGATCTCCGGGGGGAGGCTTCTTTCACCCTTCCCAGGTTCCTAGAAAGCCTCTGGAGCCTGGGGAGGGTGAAAAAAGTGCCAAAAGCGGGGGGTGCTAGTCACGTGTGCATGTGCGCTGGGGCTGCGCATGAGTGCACACTGGGGTTGTGCACATAGCAATATGGGTGTGGCACGCCCACGATGACCCCCTTGTGCTCCCCCCGCTTTTGGCACACTATCCAAAAAAGGTTAGCCATCACTGCCGTAGGTGTATACTATAGGCCACCCAACCAAACAGACAAAATAGATGAATGTTTTTGCTAATCAGTAATGTATGAAACACATCACAGTAGTAATGGCGGACTTTGACTACCCTACCATCTACTGGGAAACAAACTCTGCATGAGGTAGGAGATTGAACAGGTTCCTTATGAGTCTAGCTGATAACTTTGTCATCCAAAAGGTAGAGATGGGTACTAGGGGCTCAGCTATACTGGACTTAATTCTTACTAACAGAGATGAAATGATAGAGGGGGTTGAAGTTGCAGGTATTTTGTGGGAATGTGAACATGTTATATTGGAATTCAATATAAAGTAGACACAAGCAAGACAACCAAATCAAACTAGTGTCTTAGACTTTAAAAGAATTGGTTCAACAATCTTAATTTGGGAAGGATCCCATGAATGAAAAGAGAAAAAAGAAAAACAATTCAAGAAGATTGGGAAACTGAAAAATTTGATTATAAAAGCTCAATCCACCACAATACCAGCGAAAAAATAAGAAATCCAAGAAGAAAGTAGCATGGTTGCATAAAGAACTCACTGATAAAGTGAAAGACAAAAAAGGGTAGGTATACAAAATGGAAAGAAAGATACATAACTCAGGCAGAATACCAGCCTATAGCCCAAATCTGCAAAGATGAAGTCTAGAAAGCTAAATCTCAGAATGAACCAAGACTTGTAACAAATGTCAAAAATAATAATAAAAGTTTCAACGTATGAAAAACAAGAAAAGTCAAAGAAACAGTTCACTAATGAGAGAAGATGGCAAGGAAGTTATAGGCATAAGGGAAAAAGCAGAGATGTTTAATTCATTATTTGGAGCTCTCTTCACGCAAAAAAAAAAAAAAAAAAAGCCCAACCTACCAAAAACAGGTAAGACGGACTAGGAATATAAATTAAAATAAGCAAGAAAATGGTAAGAGAACACCTGTCCTCCCTAGATTATTTTAAATCACCAGGACCAGATGGATTATATCCTAGAGTTCTGAAGGAGAGGACAGACGTGATCTCAGAACCATTGAACCCAGTCTTTCAAAGTTCCTTTGAGCGCCAGGGAATAGCAAGCATCTTAGAAGATAGGCTAAAGATCCAGAAAAACCTTGACAGACTTGAACACTGGGGCCTATCTAACAAAAAGGAATTCAGTGGTGAGAAGTTTTACAGTTAGGCAAGGAAAACCAAATGAACAGGTACAAAATAAGGAGAACATGGCTCAATAGCAGTAACTGCAAGAGGGATCGTAGAATCCAAGTGAATAATCACTTAAATGTGAGCCAGCAGCATGCTGCATCCACCAAAAAAGCCAATGCAATCCTAGGCTGCATTAACAGAGGGATAAAATCAAGACCACGTGAAGTATTAATACCACTTTAATGTTTTGGTAAGGCCATTTTTGGAATACTGCATCCAGTTTTAGTCATCACAATATAAAAAAGATATTGAGATTCTGGAAAGAGTTCAGAGAAGAGCAACAAAAATGATTAGGGGACTGGCGGCTAAAACATGAAAAACATTAGCAGGAATTGGGTATATCTAGTCTAATGAAAAGAAGGATTAGGTGTGACATAATAGCAAACTATTCCCCAAAGCACCAGAAGCAGACAAGAAGCAACGGATGGAAACCAATCAAGGTGAGGACCAACCTGGAACTAAGGAGGAATTTCTTGACAGTGACAACATCAGTGAAACAGCTTGCCTTTAGAAGTTTTGGATGCTTCATCACTGGAGGATAGAGTCTCCTGCTTGTGCAGGGCATTGGACTAGAAGACCTGCAAGGTCTCTTTCAACACTATCATGATGTATCAGTACAGTTGTTAAGTTAATAACATAGCTGTTAAGTGAATCTGGCTTCCCTATTGGCTTTGTTTGTCAGGTTGCCAAGGCTGATCATATGACCCTAGGACACTAAAATTGTCATAAATATGAGTCAGTTGGTCTGAATTTTGGTCATGTGACCATGGGGCTGCTGCAACGGTTGTGTGAAAAATGGTCATAAGTGACTTTTTTTCAGTGCCATTGTAACATTTATTACAAGTTATATTATGCAGCAATTCTTTGGTCTCTCTGGTTCTAGTTTCTATGCAGGGAAAGCTCATGAGCCTTGGCCCCTCATAATTACCCAAGCACCACATCATTTACAAAAGTAATAGTATATAAGAAACCTTAAAATTTATGCTTACATATTACTAGCTCTAATACATTCTGAGGAAAAAGCAAGTTCCGCTTGGAGCCAGCATTTGAGTAGAAGCCTATTTCTGCTTGTTTCTAATAACACTGCCTCACTGAAACAGCTATTATTTTCAACTCTTGAATTGGATCCTTTCATTAGAAAGATGTAACTAAATGATGCCTACTCTACCCCAAACACGAGGGAGAGTAGAATGATGCTTGTTTCCCATTCTCAACTATTCCATGAAATTGTGAAAAGGATTGTAGTTCCTTACACATCACTCAAAGAATCTTGATTAATCATGCCTGCATGAGGAAACTATGAGCATACTGTTTTGTGTTAGCCGAGGGCATCACAGGGATTCTGCGTCCCTTGAGCACAATCCTACTGGGAAAAAGAAGAGTAGGAGATAAATGAAGAAACTCAGAACTGTGTCATCTCAACTGCCCCTCTAATAGTTTAAACAGGCAACCTGATTTCCATTACATTATTCCACAGACATCTGTGCTGTTTTGGGTAATATTTCCAAACTGCTTGATGATCTCCCAAGTAGAATCACCTTTAAGCTATCTGGTACCGATTATAGCTTTAGATACTAAAAATTATATTAATGCCCCAGAGTCTGGGAGTGTTCCAGTTGGACTAAAAAAGCAACACTATGTTGGATCACAACTGTGTCATCTGGAAATAATTTGTGTAAGAGTGCTGTACAGTTTTGGACAAAAGAGCAGCCAATGATTGTCAGTTAAACCTTCGAATTAAAGAAAACAGTGTAAAAGTGTCATTAGCTAGGATTTGTTTTTCAAACCATTTTAATTTGATTAAGGATAACAATAGCAAGGATCATGTACTCCTATGAATTTATTTAAAAATGGTATGTTCCAAATTTTCTTCATTACAACACAGCTTTATTGCGCAGTCCAGTAAAATGCACAGGTCAAGCGATCCAATTTCTGATTATGAAGCAAATCAGAGATGGGTTGCTGCTGGTTCGGCCAAACCAATAGTAGTGGTGGCAGGAGGCTCCTCCCACCCGCCTGGCCGCTTCTATGCATGCGCAGAAGTGTCGAGCACGCCCGAACCAGAAGTAAAAAAATTAGCAAACCACCTCTGAAACAAATGTATATTTACTTCCTACTAATGTGTGTGTGGTAACCAGCTTTATTGAGGATGAACTATAGCTATCTTTATTACAATCCTTGATATATTTTTAAGGTTTTTTAAGGTTATTTTACTAGGTTTATGCAGTATGCATAAGTCAAAAATGATTCAACAGTAGTGCTTTAGAAACTGTACAAGCACAGCACCTTTCTGCTATTGACAAAAGCACCATGGTGGGTTTTTTTTTCAGATTTACATGCAAGATGAAAAAAAGATATGGCTGTTTTTCTTGCTCCAAATTGTATTTATAGCATAAATAGTTGTAGTGTGCTGATGCCCAAAGTGTGCTGATGCCCAAATTCCAAAGAAGATAGTGATCTATTCTATCTGGGAAAAATTATCATTATCTTTTTAATAAGCATGTTGGTTTTGAAAGCTGCACTAAGTTATGTGTATATGTGTGTGTGTGTGTGTGTATGTACGTACGTACGTACGTACATACGTACGTACGTACGTATGTACGTATATATTCAACAAAATGTTGAAACTGCTGCTTAGGCTCCTTGAATGTAGCACTTCACAAATCAGCCACAAAAGATTCTCTCACTGTAATCTCAGAATCCGCATTTTTCAACTGAACAGTACAGTTCTGGCTTAAAATCGCTAAAAATTTACTGATCAGGCAACGTAACATCAATTGATGTACACATTGGTAGAAACCATTATTCAAGAATGTAAAAATACTACATTATTATTTAATAATAAAAGACTCAGTTGTCTGAATTTTTCATCTTTTGTTCGGAAAATCTGACAACACAAGATTTACGACAAACAGCTACAGAAAAAAGAATTAAGTAGTCACCATCCATTCAGTTGCTTTACATTATCCTTAGGACTTAAAAATTTATTGGTTGAACATGAAGAAAAAGTCCTGAATTTCACCAACTGATTGGAATTTGTAAAAACTGCTTTTGAAGACAATAAAGAAAAAGTTCTCAAATCAATAGTAAGTTACAGTTTATATTTCATTTTAATCAATGCTTCTCAGGGGATCATAAAAAGAATTCGCAACCCTGGTTAAGTTATATTTTAATGAATCCTTAGTGAAGAGAAGTTGACCCAATCTCTGCATAATATAAAGTTATACATGATATATAGGTCTCTGAACTGAATGCATGCTTAGTATTTGTGTGTAATTGATCACACAGAATAAACCAGTGAATATTGGAGGGCAGAACTTTCAATTACCCATCAATATAATCCATAAGATAATATCCAGTCATAAAAGAAATTGAAACTAAATTGAGGATGGAGATTTCAATAAGGTAATAATCTGACATACATCCTCAAACTGACTGTAAATTACTATGAAAGCTTCCTCAAGTACCTTCACATTCTCCAGACTTCATTATAATGGAAAATCTGTAAGGTGTTCTCAAACATGCAATGCATGTAGGAAATCCTGAGAAAATTTCTGAGCTACAATAATTCTACAAGGAATAGCAGTGTATGCTTCAGAGGCACAAAGAGAACAAATTAAAGTTGTCTACATCTAAAAATTGTTTTTCCTGTTGAAGGAGGTATTACAAAGCGCTGACTAAAAGAACACTCAAACTTCTGCACCTATCATAATCTGTTTCATTGTCTTTGAATTTGTAAACAGATGCATATATAGTAAGCCTGCGTTTAAATTTTCTGCAAAATGTTTATTTAGCTTTGGGTGTAGAAGTTATATCAACTTTCGTCCACCTAGTTATTAACCAAAACATGCAGTGTTGCCTAAGCTTTTGCATTCCACAGTATATACACATTTAAGCGAAACTGCATAATTTATATAGATTTATTTTCATACTTTGGACATTTGAAGATTACATTTGATTCATCCCTTCTGTAGATTTTAAATGCATTTTTTTCCCCATCTGATTTATTTATTTTCAAATGAAAGATCATTCACAATTAATCCACTGGATCCAGCCTGGTGAGTACTCAGATGGAGTCCTTCAGGAATTGGATTGGAGATTACAGCAGAAATTTTTTAAAAAAGAAATTCCCAGAAGGCAACAGCAAAGCACTTCCATACTGCTCAAAGTAAGTTACATGGCTGCATTCCTGAAGTCATCTGAACTTGTGCTCAATGTAATGTAACTTTGCCTTTTTTAGATCAACTACAACCTTCACAATGAATTGGCCATATGAATCTTTCCCAACAGTTTTCGTCTGTATTTGCAAAGAAGTTATTCGAGTCCACTTTCCAAAGTTTTATACCTCTCAAGTTTAAAATACAAAAGCAGATTAAACAGTTTTATGGTATTTTTAAAGTGGTATTTGGATAACAATTTAAACGGCTTTTTGATTCAAGTTCTTACAAACATGCAAACATACATATAACTCTAAATCTTTACAAAGTATTATTTATAAAATTAAATTTCCTTCTCTGTTTCTTTCTCTCCTCCTCTCCTACTCCATATAAAATTACATGCAACTGCACTGTTAAATCTTTATACAGATTAAGATATTAATCTCAAATTTTTACTGATTAAAAGTTTCTGAAGCCAAGAAAAGCAATATACAGTGTCTATCTGTCTATAGCCATGGATACCATGTACACCTTCCAAGCATTCAGAAGAAAACTAAAGAAACTGGACATAGTTTTGCGGAATGAGTCCTCTCTTCCCATTTAGAGTTCCTTCTAACCAGCCAGGTTCTCGTGAAAGATGCACTGAAGAACACAGAAAAAGAGAAGAAAAATGCATGTTAATTGGGTTAATCCATAATTTATAAAACTTTTCCAAAATTGTTCAACCAATATTTCACATAAACACATTAAAATCAATCTTTGAATCTCCATTTTCCAGGAACACCAATTAATGATAAAGTATAGTGAGGGATAGGATATATGGTTGAAATTGTATGAGAGAAGAATCATATAAGTCTATGGTGGCAAAAAATTAAGAGGAAGAAGGTTCATATTTTCCAACTAACAGAGTTTATTTTATTAAAAGACATAAGCTTTTATAATATTCAGCTGATTTTATCAGATGCACAGTGAACCTGAAGTAGATTCTCACAACAAACATGGAGGAGACAGCACCACAATCCCAAAGATCTACGGTACTTGCTACTTGATCTATACCAGCAACACGATCACCAAACAAATACATGTACAAGATTAAAGGAATCTACACATACTCTCCATCATATGTGATATATTCCATCATCTGCAAACAATGTAACCTTCTGGATTTTATGTAGAACAAACTGGACAATTTTTCCTCAAGGAATTAATGAACAGAAATTTGACACCAGGTCTCCAAATGAGGCCAAAGTAATATTGGAAACTGTTTTGGAAAAGCAGGATTAAGTTCACTGCTTAGCAAGAAACTGCTGAACTTGCATATATCTAAAGTTTTTGGCAATCTTAGAACATGTCAATAAACACAATGAGTTTTAAACACATTACTATTATTAATTAGTAATCCGTTGGACAGATGCAATCTGTTTTACATGCCATAATCCTAATCTCCAACCTTTTTCCTCATCAGGGATTTACTCCAATTTAAATTTTATATCTGTCTAGCTAGCCATTCTTTTCGTCTTCTTCTAGAAAGTTTATTTTTCTCTTTCAAATTCATTCACAAATATACTCTCTTATAATTACTTTTAACATTTATCTATTTATCATTAATCTTTATTGTTCCTTTCTTACAAATTTATAGCATACAGTTTGGGCCACTTTCTTGACATCCCTTATCTCCATCTTATTTTGCTCCTTCTGTCTTCTCAACCTCCCTTCTTTGCTTTCTTCTTTCCTCCTCTCCTTCCTCCTTTCTTTTTCTCCCCTTCTCCCCCTCCTCCTTTCTTCTCCTCCTTAACCTCTCTCCTACTCTTAGTTTCCCTCCCTTACTTCCTCTGCTTTATCCTTTCTTCCTTTCCCTCCTCATCCTTCCTCCTTTCTGTTGTTGCCCTTGCTTATTTACTTTCTCTGATGGGTTCTCAGGGTGACATTTCAGCAATCCCAACTTTATATTTTCATACAAAATACTTTCTGTTACATTTTATTTCTAATAATTATTGCACTTGTAACATTTTTACTTGTATACTTGCAGTTTAATACTTTCTTATTCCCCCCCTAATTTAATAATGTGTTGTCTGAGTTATTTGTTTTATACTTTGTTCCTTTCTCTTTCTAACCAATCATAAAATCGCCCCCATGTCCTGTAATACACCGATTCCTCTTTGTCCTTTATTCTCAATGCCAACCTGTTCATTTCTGCACAATATAATATCTTCTTTATTATCTCTCCTTCTGATGGGATTTTATCTGTTTTCCAATTTTGTGCAAATACAATTCTAGCTGCTGTTATTATCTGTACAATCAAATATGAATCTTCTTTACTATATTTCTCTGGTAGAATACCCAATAAGAATACCTCTGGCCTAAACTCTATGGGCTCATGTATCATTTTCTCTAACCATGTTTGCATTTTAACCCAATAGCTTTTTGCGTCTCTGCAAGTCCACCACATGTGATAATATGATCCTGGCAATTTATGACACTTCCAACATTTGCCTGATTGTATGTGCTATCTATAAAACATTTTATACAACTTCTCTTTATATGCTGTCACCATTGTTAATTTATAGTTCCTTTCCCATAATTGTTGCCATTTTTCTAGTTCTATTATGTACCTAAAGTTTTTTGCCCATCTTATCATTGTTTCTTTAATGTCTTCTTCTATTAAGTTTATTCTGAGTAAGTAACTATACATTTTTTAAATCATTTTTTCATCCGATCCCATGTATCTTATCTAGTTCCGAATTTTCTATGTTAAAACCATACTCATTAACGTCCTTCTCATATCTTGTTTATATTTGCATTTCTTTAAACCATCCTATATCAATCCTTTGTTCTTCTAATTCTTTCTTCTGTTTTAATTCTCCCCTTACTGTTAATATATTTTTATATCTAATAACATTTCTCATATTACTAATATTCGGGTGTGTCAAAGCTTCCACCATTGAAAGCCACATTGGTATTTCCATATAATGCTTTTCTTTCACCTTTTCCCATATTATATATAAACCATTTCTTACATAGTGTCTCTGAAAATAACCATGTATTCTGTTTTTCCCATACCACAAAAATGCGTACCGACCCAGTTGCATATCATGTTCCTCCAAAGACAATAACCTCTCAATAATATCCATTCTTTTATCCACGTTAAAGCTGGGTCTATCTAGCCATTCTGATGAAGTGAGCTGCAACTCATGAAAGCTTATGCATTTTAATAAAACATATTAGTTGACAACAGTGATACCAGATTCCTGATAACTAAAATACTTTAAAAAAATAACAGAAATATTCAGAATTAGTAGTACTTTCTGACCTTGCAGATCTAAATGGTAAGATAAAAATCAGCGAGCCTAATATATCACAATACTGCTGCAAATCAAAATATTTTAAAGTACTTTGAATTTGGAGCACTTATACTATATTATTTGAAAAATCTAATGATTGCCACTGGACCCTTTTGCTTATGAAGTATTCACTGCACCTCTGAGAGAGATTTGGAGCATGACTCAAATTTTCCAGTTATATTTAAGATATTAAAGCTAAGTTATTAAAAGACTTGAAAAAGACAACAGTTCAAGCACTTTAAATACCCAGCAAAAATGAATTATAAATGAAATGTCTCAAGAGGAAGCAATTGAGCACTTTTTTCTTTCACTTTGCAAAGTGGAACAGATTCTCTTTTCAGAATAAAATATAACAAGAATAAACTATAGTGGTAGCAGACTGACTTGTAGCTGCTTAAAGAAAAGTCATTTATTTCTCTTGGGAGTCTCTTATTTGATGTCATGTTCAAATGCTAATACTGAATAAATAAAGAATAATTTTCCTTTGGTATAATGACACAAACATTATATCAATGGTTGCAAAATCATACATTGAATCTTTCTATGGAATGTATCTTAAAAGAAATTAAAAATGCATAGCAATTGTACTAATCCTGAATAGTGGCGGTATCCAAATTCTCCCTTTTTATTTGTTTCTTTGAACCCAAGTCCGACCCTCAATCCAACCCTCCTCAACAATAATAACAGGTAAACTAGCTAAAAGAGAATGAAGATATTACCTGATTCCGGTCAATATTTTTTATATGAAATATGTTAAGGAAGGGAGAATAAATACAGGAGAGATTAAAAAGAGAGTAGTATATGGAAGAAAAATGGACAGAAGAGAATCTTCCTTTATGGATGTGGTGATTCATGTCAGTCAGTAATTTAATGGTTATATTAAGTGGCTGTTATCGGCAGTATGTCAATTTGATGGATTCACTGTCAGTTTGATATTTTAAGTTATTGGTAGAGCAATAGAAAAGATGCATTATTCTCTCAATTCTTCATTTAAAGACTTATTTAAAGCATATGGAAGTTTAGTGATACATATTAACTGGTTTTGTGGTATCTGAATGAATTCTAAGTAGATGGGCAGAGAGGCATCCTTTTCTCAAGGACTATTAAAGGACAAATGGTTTTACAGATTTGGTAAATATCAGAGATTAATTAACAATTCTCTTTGATATTAAAATATTCTACTTACTACACTTGAAATTATTAAAAACATATTAATTAAAGGAGCCACTTTATTTTTGTCTCTGCTGCTAAGGAATTTTTTGTCGGTAGAAGCAAAGATGTATCTTGGCTTCACTAATATTCAGGCTATGTCTGAGTCCTCTTGTGGCCAAGATAAATAATCTAGTTCATCGTCCTCCAAAACTGAATGATAGCAACACCGCAGTTCTCCTAAATGCAAATGATGCAGTACTGTTATCTCAGACACAAAATGATCTAAAGCAAGATTTACATGTTTACCTGCATATTGTAGTGCATCAGCACTTATGTTTAATTTTTTTTAGTAGATTTTAGTAGATTTTAATAAGACTTATAGGCCGCCCTTCTCCCTGAGGGGACTCAGGGCGGCTTACAATCACAAAGGGAAGGGTGTGCGGTAACAAGAGACAAACAATAAGTGGCCAAAAATAAAATGGTAAACCACAACATGCATTCAACAATCAACACTCGGGCGGGTAAATTGGAAACCTATCCCCAGGCCTGCTGGGAGAGCCAGGTCTTGAGGGCTGTGCGGAAGGTCTGGATGGTGGTGAGGGTGCGAATCTCAACGGGGAGATCGTTCCACAGGGTCGGAGCTGCAACAGAAAAGGCTCTCCTCCGTGTAGTCGCCAGTCGACATTGACTGGCGGATGGAATCCGGAGGAGGCCCAGCCTGTGTGATCTAATCGGTTGGAGGGAGGTAATCGGCAGAAGGCGGTCTCTCTTAATTATTCAAGAAAAATCAGACACCCTGTAATTTCCCCTCAGGAAAGCTATTGGAAGGACATTAAATTTGCCTAAGTTAGACTCTTTGGATACTGTGATTTGGCTTAGATTTGACAGCTTGAACCTAAGATTTGACAGTATGTACTAAGCAAGCGTTCTAAAATTCTTGTTTGGTAACTAACACCTTTTTGAGAATTTACAGATAGCATGTCATGCTATTAATAAATGCAGGGCACATGTGGATTAGGTCTTCCAAAATGCAGACAAGTCTTGCATTATACAAGCAATGCATTATTCATATCTAGTGTACTATTTTCAGCCAATTTACAGGCCCAACCTTTGTTCAGAACCTAATTGGCGCTTCCAATCTTTTAAAGT